ATGGAGAAGGTAACAGACCCTTGGCCATGCATATTCTGCACGTGTTTTATAGGGAAATTAAAGACTCTAATTTGAAGTAATAAAAATCCAAGCCTTTCTGAGAGGACTAAATTCAGCAAGGGAGAAAAGAGAAGTAGTATATTCTTGCTGAGAAAAAAAAATCAATCTAACAGGCAGTGAAGGCTGTGTTGCAGAGTATGTGTCACGATTCTAGTGCGATTCTTCTTTAATTAAAAAGCAGAATTTGCCTGAAACTATGTCCTCTTTCGTACATTTCGTGATCATTTGAAACCCGAACCCTCACCCTAGGTAAATTCTTGACGCTTTTTACATCTCAACATTTCTTTATTCTACCCTCACTCTCGAACAGCAATCTTTTTAAGTATTAAAGTTTAGGCTGAAAATAAGGATTTTGAAAGTGATGTTTCTTCATCTTCTAGACTCCAGTGTTGCTGCTGAGAAGTCTGATGTCTCCCTTTGTTGAGACTCTTTGACCTGCCTTTCCCCTCAGGAACATTTTCAGAACTCTTCCTGATCATTGTTCCGAAAGTCACGGCGCTACAGCCTGGGGCAGGTCTTTTCTTTTAGTCACTGTGCTGCTGGGCACTCATTGGGTTATTTCACTCTGGACACTAGTGTTTGGTTCTGGGAACATTTACTACATTATTCTTCTGACAATTTTCCTGTGCAATTTTCTGTTCACTCTTTCTGAAACCCCTACTTGTCGGATAATGGAACAGCTAATTTCCTTTCTTTTCTCTCCAATGTCTATTTCTTTTTTTTTAAATTCTAAAACCTAATTCTAAATTTTAGAATTCTAAAATTCTAAAAAAAAAGACTTTCTTAAGCATTATATTTAGACTTTAATATCTATATGTACACATATGTTTAGAAGTGTTCTTTTTAGTCATTTGAATATTTAAATAACATCTTCCTCTTGCTTCATGAATGGATTCTTTTATCTTCCTAAGGATATTAAGTATGTCAACTATTTTTATGTTAAATATTTTTATGTTAAGTATTTTTCAGTTCCTTAGTTTTCCTGCATTCCTTTTTTCATATCTGAAGATCTTTCTATGTCCGAAATGTTGACCGGAAGTTCCTAGGGCAGGCGGAATTGTAGACTGGTGAACAAATGGGGAATAAGCTGGATTTATTTATTTGGGTCTTTTTGTTTATCTGTTTATTTTTAATTGAAGTATGATTGATATACAATATTTTATTAGTTTCACACGTACAATACAGTGATTCAATATTTTTATAGATTATGCTCCATTTAAAGTTATTACCAAAAAATGGCTGTATTTCCCTGTGCAGTACAATATATCCTCATTGATTATTTATTTTCTACAACTTCAGACTATACTACAAAACTATAGAATTCAAAACAGCATGGTACTGGCACAAAAACAGACACATAGATCACTAGAACAGAATACAGAGCCTAGAGCTAAACCTCCACATGTATAGTCAATTAATTTTGACAAAGGAGGCAAGAACATACAATGGAGAAAAGATAGTCTCTTCAAAAGTGGTGCTGGGAAAACTGGACAGCTACCTGTAAAAGACTGACATTAGATCATTTCCTCACACCACAAAGAAACATAAACTCAAAGCGGATTAATGACCTAAGTGTAAGACCTGAAACCATAAAACTCCTAGAAAAGAATCTGGGCAGAACACCCTTTGACATAAATCATAGCCATATGTTTTTGGCTCTGTCTCCTAAGGCAAAGGGAACAAAAACAAAAATATACGATTGGGACCTAATTAAATTTAAAAGCTTTTGCACAGCAGAGGAAACCATCAACAAAACAAAAACACGGCCCACTGAACAGGAGAAAAAGCTGGGTTTATTTTTGCTGGGGACCCCTGACTGCCAGTGTGTGTAGACCTTTCCTCTGAGCTGTTTGCATTTCTCCAGAGGAAGATCCTCTGTCTTGTGTCTGGAGAAGCATCGTCCTGTCTGTGATCTGTCACTGGGTGAAGGGGGAAACAGAGGTTTACCTTCCAAAATGCAGACTGTACTGAACACCCTGCAGTCATTCATCCACCTGCCTCTGTGCCCAAGACCCATGTCTGGAACATTCCGCCCCATGAACCTGCAGGTCATAATGGCTGGTTCTTCCCACTCGAGTCTCCAAGGATGTGCATGGCCAACCAGCCCTTTCTTATCATTGCCACACGCCCACCCCCAACACACTCCACCAGCTGAGTTGTTCAGTCCCTTTCCAGTTTCACTGATGGGGGACTTTGGTGTTCTCTGTTTCTTTTCCTTCTTGAGTCTTGGATTGATTCTTGAGAAAAGAAGAGGCGAGAAGTAGCTTTACTATGCCTAACCTTAAGGCAATGGAATTTTTACTTAGTTTTGCCTTTTTGAGCCAGTATAAAACTTGTTATTAATCATATTCTACTATTTTTCTTCTTCTGCAGCAGCAAATGCATGGCGTAAACACTGGTCACACCTAAGCAGGTGCAGTCTGGGACTACGAATCATTTTGCTAATTGGAGCTACGGGAAAAATTCTTTGACACTTGGTCTCTCAGGTAGGCTTGTCACCATCAGAATAGAAAGGGAGAATCTAATGTTTTTTCTGGTGGATTTTTTCATAATGAGCAGGAAAGATCATGTCCATCTGAGTGCTAAAGCTGTATGAATAATTTGGGATCTGAATTTACTGGAATGTCTATATAAAATAACCTACTTCTGTAACAATAATGTTACTTTCCATTTCCACCATGTCAGACCCAATGCTCTTTACATCTGATGATGTCTGAAAAGTATGACCACACAACAGCTTCCATAACGTGGCGTGGAATCACCTCGTAACCAAATGACTGACAGTATCTAAAGCTGACGATCAGACTTGTGTTCTTTCTCTTTGGATTTTTAGAATAACAAGGAGTTTTTAATCATGTGTTTGATTTGAAAGTCTGAGATATAATCAGAGATTTATACTTCAGATTACAAGCCACATTTCTCAGAGGGGATACATTTTTTAAGTCTTAAATCTCCCATGGACCTGCAATTCATGTAACAACAATGCAGTGCTATTAGCACTGGTCAGGAAAAAAAAATCAAACATAGTTGATGTTGAGAGAGAGACAAATCAAGAGAGAGGGGAAGATTCACTGCAGCAACTTAAAGGAAGATTTCTGAGCTTTGCTGCAGGAATCTTGACATAATCATTCATATTTCAGCATTTCACAGGAAGCAAAGTTTTCTAGCTTCTCTCCTTTCAGCCAGAAATCTATGCAACTCCAAACACAGGGGAGATTTTAACTGAGGCTCATTTGCCACTTTTCACTTGTTTTAATATAACTTAAAATGCTGTTATAACTATGCAATTATGCTTGAGATTTTACGTTGTTATTGGGAAAAATAGGCTTTAACTGAAATAATGTCGAGATAATAAACAGTACATTCCACGTATGATTTCATTATTATCATTATCTTCCAATGTGTCAATTTATTAAGATGTGAAAAAGATACATTCTGAGATAGAGGAATGATAGTATGGTAACGGGGCAGAAAATAGTCAAATTTATTTCAAAATGAGAAATTCAAATGTGCATTTTGACCTATACCCTAAAGTTTTCCACCAAATATACATCTAAATTGTCTTCACTGCCTTCCTCCTCTACTTTCAACTCCTACCAGAGAACCTGAACTAGGGAGCAGGGAAGTTGTAATTCCCCTCTAGACTGGGGTGCACTGACTCGATCCCACACACAGGCTGGGTCAGCTGTCCCCCCAGGCAGAGTAAGCCCCCAGTATTACCCTCCCCCAGCCACCCCCCCAAGAACTGAATGCATTAGTCACCACTCTGGGTTACAAACCTCCAAGAATACAGTGGGCCATTGCCACCCTCAAACAAAATATTTCCATGAGCCAATGGGGGACACGCAGGTAAACGTGGGTTTGTGACAGTGGGTCTTTGAAGACAAAAATCTACATCTTCAACAAGCACTGGGAGAAATGCCCAAAGACCATTTTTGAGCAATGCTGGTCGGGGCCTGGGAGACGTGGGACGAGAGCAAGGGGTTTGAAGATATGACAGGTGGAGTGAGATGGACAGACGCAGTAAGAAGGACAAAAGGGCAGAAGAAACGGGGAGAGGACGGGAGTTTGATGCCATAGCGAAAACAGTAGCTGCAAATGGCCATGTCATAATAAAAAGCAGCAAAATTAAATAATTCACAATGTTTTCTGGCCCAGCCTGTCTGCAGTTGTTCATTTATTATGTAATTTTTTGACCTCAAAGTTACATTACTGACCTCAAAGATATTAAACTGTGTCTACTAACTAATCACACAAATGCTTGACTCACAATCTGTTCCTGAACCAGTTTCCTCTTGGGGAATAATCTCTCCTCAAGTGTAAACTTCTTTTCTCATCTTGTGGAATTAATGGCAAGTGAATGAAATGAACATCAAATTACAAAAATCCCTGAACTTGATCTTAATAGTTGCTCTTCTTATATTTGGCCTTATACACAGATCTCTAATTATTCCTTGGCTCACAGAAAGTTGCAGGTGACGGTGCAAATCCTGGCCCGACTGCCCAGCAGCCAACCACGGTGCTGGTAGGGTGGCTGGAGCCACATGTCCTGGACGCCTCCTGGACCCTCTCACACTCGCCCCAGGCCTAACTGACTAGCCCAGATATCGCCTGCCAATCACCCAGAAATTCCGACTTCCCAGTAAGGAACAGCGTGATGGTTAACGCTATGTATCAACTTGGCAAGGCCGCAGGCACCGGGTATTTGGTCAAACACCAGCTCAGAGGCTGCTGTGAAGGTCGGATGGGACTGGAATTTAATTCAGCAGACTTTGAATAAAGCAGGTTGTCCTCTGTCATGTGTGTGGGGCTCATCCAATGAGTTGAAGGCCTTAGAGAAAAGACTAACCTCCCCCAGGGGAGAGGGAATTTCTGCCAGTGGGCAGCTTTTGGACTCAAGCCACATGTCAGGTTTTCCCTGGGTCCCCAGCTCACCTGCCTGTCCTGCAGAATTTGGATTTGCCAGCCCCCACAAGCATGCGCGTCAACTCCTTAAATAAATTCTTCTCTCTGTATACCTATATATACATATATATACAGCAGGTGGGGTCTGTTTCTCTGTAGGTCCTTGACTAACACCACAGTGGTTTTCAGCTCTTGAATACCTGTCTGTCCCCTCGACTGAGCTGTGTCCCTCGGAGCCTGCTGTCTGCCCAGTGTTGGGTTCCCCTTCGGCCACAAAACTTGCTTTCAACACTCAAACACTGGTCTAGGGTCTTCAGTTTCTCTTAAACCAAGGAGAGATCAGAAATTTTCTAATCCAGTTGCATTATTTTTCTGTGAATGACCTACCACCCAGAGACTTGAATCTGCTCTCCCAGGGCCAGGCTAGTAGGACCAGACAAAGCAGAAATGAGAATCTGGCTCCCACCCTCCAGCTCTGGGCTCTGCCCACCGGCTTCCTTTCTCACATGGGCCTTACGCCATCTTGTCACAGGAGGATAATGCACTTCCGTGCTCTGGGTCACCACACAAAGGCGCCAGTTCATTTGATGGATGTTTTAGCTATCGGTTCACTAATCCTAACGGCTTATAGATGATATTTAGGGACATGGGTGGGAAAAATTAAGTGATCTCCCCACTGCGGACATGACAAATCTGGTTATAATGAAATACGGATACTGTTGAAGTAGGTTGGTTTTCCCAAAATCAGAACCTGAGGCTTTGATTTATGTAAAAGAGATCTGTGAGAACATGTCCCAGGAAGAATCAGTAGGGAGCGGGGAAGGAGGAAGCAGGCCCAGAAGGGAGGCAGGCCACGCGATGGTGTGATATCAGGCAAAGTCCCTCGGAGGCCAGCGTGGGTTAGGGCCCAAAGAAACCCCGCAGGGAGCGCACATCCCGCCCAAGACTTGTCACCATCAGAGGGCAGGGAAGCTGGCACATCAATGCCCCTACAGCCGTCAGGCACTGGTGGAGGACAGGGTAGTTAAACTCACAGAGTCTTCTGGAACTTTATGTATGTGGAGTCCTCCTTCAAAGAGACCAAGTGATGGCTGCTGGGAGTTCACGTACAGCAGGAGCTGACCTTCACCAAAGTGGAAGAGGCGTCCTGGTGTGAGGGTACCGCAGGAAGTCCTTGCAGGGTTGGCTGCACCCTCTGGTATCTGGATCAGAGTGGACCTGCACAGTGTCAGCAAAAGGACAGAAAGTCCCCGAGCCAACCCCGACCAACCTAATTGGAGGTATCGACCAGACACCAAAGGACTGGCCCATCAGAGAAAACTGTCACTGCAGAGTGCTAGGAGGGTCAGAAAGTCAAGACGGTCAGGGCTCACCACACTGGCCCTAAACCACTGACTCTCTGACAAGTTCATGGTCGGGGTCCCGATACGGACATGCAGCCAGCCACCTGCTTGATGCCCGGCACCTGGGGGACAACCCAGTCAACTCCACTGACTCTCAGCTCTTACACCAAGCAGCCTCTGAATTCTAAGACAGCCTCTTGAGGAGATCTGCCCAAAGTGAGAGGATGTGGAAACCCACCAAAACACACTTCCAGTTGTCTCTATAAGAATGTTCTTTGTTAAAAATAAGTACCCGGGCATTCTCATTGTAACCATCGATCTGTGCAAGTGTGGTTCGCCAGCCTCTGAAAAACGGGCTGTCCCCTACACTCAGTGACACTGACTCAGCCCCCAAGTTTCCTTTAAGCTCCAATGGCAACGTGACACCGTGGAGGGCAGCTCAGAGAACTCTTTTTTTCTACAGGGACTAATCAGATCATCCCCAATGTCCTTGCTGGAGCTTGAACTGTGATAACCTTTTCTGAAGTTCAGGAACAATTAAGAAATCGATACAGGAGTTTAGGAACAAAATGTCAGCCTAATTTGTGGCAGTGCTGGCATGGGGGCAATGCTCGGCTCCGAGGTGTGGGCTACTGCCCAGAGACGAAGTCACCATCTCAGGCACCAGAGGAGCATGGACAGAGTCCTTACGGATGGGGTCAGCCCTGGTGGGAGGCACCGACTGGAGACAACACCTGTGGCAATCCTGGAGGGCTTCCAGGAGAGAGAAGCCCAGGGACCAGGCCAGGCAACCTAATCAGTCCTTTTCTGATGGGGGAAGACAGGGTGGGGGTGGAGACAAGAGTTGAAGATTTCACCTCAGGGCTTCCCAGAGAAGCATAAAAACTCCTCTTAATGGCCCAAAGCAGACCAGCGGAGAGAGAGAGGAAAAAACCTGTACCCAATACATGATGATTATCAGTCTAGTAAATTTTGTGTATATACCAATTTCCTAAGAAAGTACACCGTGATATTTTCATATTAGTGAGTTATTTTTCACTGAACGATTCAGAAGATAATTTATATCTGTGATGTCTCTTAAAGCCCTCCTAATCATTCACAGCAAAGTCTAAGTTCTGCAGCTCACATTTATAGCTTTTACAGTTTTTAGAACTTCAGAGTTCTAAATGCTTATTTGTATCTGTGTAAGTTCAGTTAAGTTCTAAGTCTTTACCAAAAATGGGCACTCCTCTGGCTAAAACTTGAGAGAGGACGGATCCCTAACTTGGAAAATAAAGAGTTAAGAAAGGGGATAAATTTAGGAGTTTGAGATTTACACATGTTGGCCACTATATATAAAAATAGATTTTAAAAAAAAGTTTCTTCTGTGTAGCACAGGGAACTATGTTCAATATCTTGTAATAACCTTTAATGAAAAAGAATATGAAAACGAATATATGTATGTATATGCACGGCTGGGACGTTGTGCTGAACACCAGAAATTGACACATAGTTAATTGACTGTACTTCAATTAAAACAAACAAACAAACAAACAAATGAATAGAAGTTAAAAAGTTAAGAAAAATCCTAATCAGGCGTGCTTCTGATTCTTTATAGTGCAGATAATAGGAGGTGAAAGTCTCACCTCTGTGTCCCAGTGGTGGGAAACGGGGCATCAGCTTAGCTCAAGGTACAAATTATAGTCTGGAAATGAAGCTAGAGGCTCAGCTGTTGCTCACATACCCAGTGTGCGGACGAGGAAAATCAGATGCCTGTGAGGACCAGAATAAGTAAGAGAAGCCAAAAAGAGAGCTTAAGATAAAGACACAAGTCTGCTACTCCACAACGCAGCCACCACAATAGGTGGAAATAAAAACAACTGTAACAGAGAGAAGGCTCGGCTCAGCTCAGTCTTCAGAAATGTTTCCCAGAGGAAACAGTCCCTGTCTTTCTTGACTTGTTATGTCAGAGAGGGATTCACTGTAAGAGAAGCCTTATTCTTTCGTTCCAAGAAAAAAAACAATGTCAAAATGTTACCAGGATAATCCTTAGCTTCCTAACTGGTGCCTGTGAAGAGAATTTCATTCATTCACTCACTCATCCATTCATAACATTTGTAAATTAAGCTTACAAAGAAAGGATAAACAACAGAGGAAAGATGATGTTTATTTTCAAAGCAGGGCTGGTCCCAAGAAAAATAATCAACTCCGGGAGGACTGCCTCCCGCCCTGCCTCCTCTGCTTAGTCTTTCAAGATAGAGCTGCCCCCTGCCCCACTGGCCACTGCCCTGCGCTTTCCACCTCTCCTTTATTAAAACCTGTTTTAGATGATCTGATGAATTCATTCGCCTTAATGTCACGCACATTAAGACTAGGTAAGGGGTAAAGCTACTCGCATCAGCTCAGTCATGAGTATCTACGTTCTCAACAGGAGAAAAGCCTCAAGCAAAGGGAAGTGCCAAGGAGCAGGTAGAGGAGCAAATATCTTTCAAGAGAGAGGCTCTCGGAAGAGTGGAAAACACAATTTATAGACATGTACTCAGTCTTGAAGCTATGGACAATATTAATTAATGAAGCCATCGTCTATTGAAACTGGAGAGCATGATGTGGGTTTTCTCTGATTCAAGGCTAAAGGTCAAAAAATAGGTACATACTATTAGGTATAAAATAACCTACAAGGATATATTGTACAACACAGAGAATATAGCCAATATTTTATAATAACTCAAAGTGCAGGATAACCTTTAAAAATTATGAATCACTATATTATACACCTGTAACTTATATAATATTGTATATCAACTATACTTCAATAAAAAATAAACAGGTAACTCTGGAACTGTTATTCCCTACTAAGAACCTTTCTTCTGGAAAAAGCACAGCAGAACAACCTTTCCTCTAGTAGCCACTGCGATTTATTCCTGACATGAGAGGAACATCTGCTATAGATTATGTGCAGACATTTCTGGGATGTCAACGTGGTCAGAAATAACCAAAACGCTTATAAGCAGATGAAGACATGTTATTTCCATTTCAAATAGGGATTTAATTCTAGAAGGCCCACTAAACAACAACAAAAACAACAAAGGCTTGCATTTATGTGGACCAATTATAGACTCATTAGCAAAAACTGGGAAATGAAAAAGAGGACCTAGCAGAGGAATTAGGTTCCATAATTATAAACCCTTTGGGGGAGTTTGGGGAGAGGTAGAGGAAGAAAGGTTAAATAGCATTCGGTATCAACCTTAAAATAACTATCACCTCTCCCCTTTAAAGCCTTAAGCTCAATGACATATCAGCCTATTGAAATTCTGCGTCTCCATGCCAGGTTTTGAGTAATGTCCCTTTTAACCTTCTCAGGATGGATGGCTCAACACAATGATCTATGGGGTTTAACGTTAGGAAGCTGTGAGAAATCGCTTCACCTTGCACACAATGGCAATCCCAGGAGAGCTACCTGGCGGTTAGTCACAGCATCCTGCCCCGCCTGGCTGGATTTATAACGGCAGTTCTCGCACCTGCTGAGTCCCCCCCACTACCACCACCTTTCGTATTGTTTGGGAGGACTCTGTCAGAAGGATGTCAAGATTCACATTTTCAGATGATTTAAGGGCTTATGGAATAAGTCACTAGAAAGGAAAAGATGACTGAAGTTTTATGCAATGTTTTTGATAAGCTGCTGTAAAACCTCACCCTGACCCAAAAAATACTGAGACAATGAAATAGGAAAATGAGAACGACTTAAAATTCAGTTCACTTCAGATTCTTTGAGACACTAGGTTCCCAAGACTCTATTCCCATCCTAGAATGACAAGAACCAATGGATGTAAAAACTGCCCTTATTACTAGAGAATGTTTAACTCAACCCATTAAATTATTTGTGATTTCTGTATGAATTATTAAACTATTCAGGACTGGATAAGAAAAAGCATCTCTCTGTTGATATGCTGGCTCCTTTCCTTTCAACTCAATAAATAAGAATCTTAATGTCTTAAACATAAGTAGAAATCTCATGTTTTTATGGGATAAGGCCATTAATTAATAAAGGTC